ATCCACGTCACTTTAAAAAATGTAAAAAAAAAACTTTTTAAAAAGTGAAAAAAAAAACCACATTAGTCCAGAAAAAGGTAAATATATATATATATATAATTTTTTAAAATGTGGAAAAAAATACACATTAATTAAAAAAAAAAAGTAAATAAATTTGAAAAAAGTGGAAAAAATACACGTTAATTTTAAAAAAAAGTAAAAAAAAAATATATATAATTTTTTAAAAAGTGAAAAAAATACACATTAATTTAAAAAATAGTAAAAATATATATATATAATTTTTTAAAATGTGGAAAAAAATACACATTAATTAAAAGAAATAAAATATATATATATATATAATTTAAAAAAAAAGTGAAAAAAATACACATTAATTAAAAAAAAAGTAAAAATAGCTATATATAATTTTGAAAAATGTGGAAAAAAATGCACATTAATTTAAAAAAGGAAAAAAAAATATATATAATTTTTTAAAAGTGAAAAAAAATAGACATTAATTTAAAAAAAGTAAAAAAAAAATATATATAATTCTTTAAAAAGTGAAAAAAATACACATTAATTTAAAAAAATAAAATATATATATATATATAATTTTTAAAAAGTGAAAAAAAATGCACATTAATTAAAAAAAATAATATATATATATATAATTTTTAAAAAAGTGAAAAAAATTGCACATTAATTAAAAAAAAGTAAAAATATATATATATAATTTTTTAAAAAGTGAAAAAATACAAATTAATTTTAAAAAAAGTAAAAAATATATATATATTTTTTAAAAAGTGAAAAAAATAGGCATTAATTTAAAAAAAAGTAGAAAAATATATATATATATAATTTTTTTAAAGTGAAAAAAAATACACATTAATTAAAAAATAGTAAAAAAAAATATATATAATTTTTTAAAAAGTGAAAAAATACACATTAATTAAAAAAAACTTAAAAAATGTATATATTTTTTTTAAAAAGTGAAAAAAATACACATTAATTAAAAAAAAGTAAAAAAATATATGTATAATTTTAAAAAAAGTGAAAAAAAAATGCACATTAATTTTTTAAAAAGTAAATATATATATAATTTTTTAAAAAGTGAAAAAAAATACAAATTAATTTTTTAAAAAAAGTAAAAAATATATATATATTTTTTAAAAAGTGAAAAAAATACACATTAATTTAAAAAAAAGTAGAAAAATATATATATATAATTTTTTAAATTGTGAAAAAAAATAGACATTAATTTAAAAAAAAACCTAAAAAAATATATATATAATTTTTAAAAAAGTGAAAAAAAAATACCTATTACTCCAAAAAAAAGCAAAAATATATATATATAATTAAAAAAAAACTAGAAAAAAAATCAATTAAAATAAAAAAATGAATGGAAACTCCATCTAACACCAAAAAAAACCCTCAAATCCCCCCTGTCTGTGTTTGTGCGCAGCGAACCCGGTGGCGAACTGGATCCACGCGCGCTCCACGCGCAAGAAGCGCTGCCCGTACTCGAAGCTGCAGACGCTGGAGCTGGAGAAGGAATTCCTGTTCAACGCGTACCTGAGCCGCGAGCGCAGGTACGAGGTGGCGCGCGGGCTGAACCTGAGCGAGCGCCAGGTGAAAATTTGGTTCCAGAACCGGCGCATGAAAATGAAGAAAATGAATAAAGAGAAAAGCGAGAAGGAGCAGCAGTGACGGACAGACAGACAGACAGACAGACAGAGCGCGCGCGCGAGGATGGGAGTTAATTTAATTTGGGTTTTATTGAGGTTTTTGGGGGGTTTGGGGAGGGAGGGGGGGATGAGGGGGGAATGAAAGGGGAAGGGAAAATAAAAGGGGGGAAGGAAATTAAAGAGGAGAAATGAAGAGGAAAATGAAAGAGGAAAGAGGAAAAAATAAAGAGGTGAAAAGAAAAATAAAGAGGAGAAATGAGGAAAAGTAAAGAGGA